AGCTGCTTTCAAATTCTACTCCAGAGGCATCTAACAGAAATAGAAAGAACTTTCGGTTCCACATGGAAGGACCTCAGGAGTCACCACTGTGTCCTAACAACTAGTAAAACGCTGAACTGAAAAAATCCACAAATCTTCCTGGATCCATAAGTGGGGAAGGCACAGGGCAAACTGCTGTCCCCAAGGTTGGAAAGACAGGAAATTACAGGTCACCACCGTTCACCAGAGCAGACTCACAAGCAGAAAGCACTGCAGGGACCAGGGCCCGGGCAGGAAAACCTGCATGGTAATTGATGAATTGCTGGAGGCTCAGTGCGGATGACTCTGAGAGGTAAAAACTCTGGGGGACCCCAGTCACAACATCTCTGCCCCCACATACGCACACAGTATTGTGAGATTAACTTCCAGGAGCTCCACTGGAGTGTCACAGTCAATACCAGAGAAAAATCTGGTACCCCTTGCAGGGGAAAGGGAGAAGGAACCACTCGGAAATACACCAGAGCACTCTCTTCTCAACAAGCCCTCCAGGTGACCAGAGGCTAACATGCTGGAGTATTATTGTCAGAGACTGGTTAATTGCCGACCTCCAGGAAGGGATATATCCAATTCCAGCCCATTTGAGCCATCTTACCCCAACGACGAGGGGAGAAAAAGATCTGAGACACTTTTTTGAGTTCACAGTCCAGAAGCATAGGCTCACTGAAACACTGAGATCTAATTATTGACTTATAGAACCTTCCCCTCCCGCCTCACCGCCATGTTTCTAAGGCCTATTTATAGAAGTTCCTCTTACCTAGTATACCATGTCCAACTATCCAGAAAGGCAAAAACAAACAACAAACAAACAAAAAGACCCTCACAATGTGAAGGGACAGAGTAAGTATCAGAAGCAAACATGGCGGGATGTTAGAATTATCAGGCCTGGAATTTAAAATAAGCATGATTAATTAATATGCTAAGGGCTCTAATAAATAAAGTAGACGGCATGCAAGAACAGAAGGGTGAGTAAGCAGAGAGACAGAAATCCTAAGAAAGAACTGAAAAGAAATGCTAGAGAATTAAAAGGCAAGGTACAAATGTGAGCCACATATGTGATTTTAAATTTTCTGGTAATTGTATTGGTAATTATGTTAAAAAAAAAGTTAAAAAGAAACAGGTGAAATGATTTCAATAATATACTTTATTTAATCCCATACATCCAAAATGGTATTCTTTAGACATGTAATCAATATTAAAAAAGTAATGAGACATTTTACATTCTTTTTGTTTTCTTTGGTACCAAGTCTTCAAAATCTGGTGTGTATATTTCACCTTGGAATATCTTCATTCAGATGCGTCATATTTCAACTGCATGAAAGCCACAGATGGCTAGTAGCTCGTGTGTTGGACAATGAGGTTCTAGACCCTCCTCTGACACACCGGGTGATCTTGGACATGCAATTTAACCGTTCTGAATCTGCTCACTTCCCTGTAAAATGGAGTTCTCTCAAGACAATCTACATCATAGGGTGAAATGTGAGGTTACCAGAGAACCACACCCAGTGGGCCCTCGGCACACTGGAGTTCTCATTGTCCCCATCTTCGAGAATGGGTCCTTCAGCATGCCGCCTGGTCTCTGCTACTCTGGATTTCAGTTGGTGGACTTGAGCAAAACTTCACCTGAACATTTCCCTCATTATTTTAAATGATTTCTGGTCAGTCATGCAACCAAAATGTTAACAAATAGAGTGACAGAATATTCTCAGGAAGAACTGATGGCTTGATTCATTGATGAGATTAGGATCAGGAGGGTTTTTGCACATTCAGTATCAAGAGGGAGTCTGGCTCCGGGTCCCAGTCTGAGTACGTTAAAAAGCTCATTAAAACAGGATCGCTGAGAAGCCAAAAACTGCATGGGAAATATTGTTAAGACTACGGATTTACTGAGCATCAATCAGCTACCGGCCAAACACCAAAGTACTTTTCATATGTCAATTTACGTAACAATAGCAAGGGCACAAAAACAAACACACAAAGTCCTGTGAAGCAGATCGTCTCATCCTCACTCTAAAGATAAGGAAGCTCTGAGTGAGCTGATAGATTTGCCAAAGTTGATACAGCTCTTGGTTGATTCTTTTCATGACCCTGAGATACCCTCTTATTCTCACAGGTCAAGTAAAGGTGATGTGGGCTGGGCTGATAAGCCGGGTCCTGGCCGTCTTCAGAGAAGCATGGACTAACTGTTCTAAAGTCAAACATTTCCTCTATCTGAGTCGAGGTTAAAAGATGAAACACAGATGGTAGAAAAGGGAACCGGTTTCTATCCTCCCTGGACATTTGAACGGATGGTTTGTTTCTATGTGATGTTTAGACAACAGGCACAAACTAGTTCTTTCTTGAGATAAAGCAAGACAACCAGATGGAGCCACAAGTCCTTTTTTTTAATTAGTTCTATTTATGCAGAGACTGGCAACTCACTTGCTAACTCTGGTCTTATAGGGAACAGCCAAGGAAGTTTGCGGGAATAGGGGTTTTTTGGTGCAGTGGTAGGGGAGAAACAGAGAGAGGAGGAGCTGATCCCAAAGACCAACCCCAAAGAGCACATGGCTCTTGTTATATCTGGCTGGCTCAGCAACCATCCAAGTTATGGGGCTACAGGGGATACTGTCTAGACCAGTTCTTTTGGCCCTGGGGTTGGCAGAACACAGAACCAGAGAGCCAAAGCATGGTCCAAATATCTCTCTGCATTTTTTCTGGTAGACAGTCAAGCTGGATGGAAACTAAATCTCAAACAATTACCAAACAGCAATAAACAAGGGGAAAAAAAGACTGCACAGGGCTTTCTGCAGTCCTGGACAGATATATCCTGGCTCTTGAGCTGTAAAGCATGACCTCTCTGGAGTGAATCTCTCTGAGAAAAAAAAGCACAATCTTAAAGATGGGCTGACATCTCTAGCTGGAGATCACCCTCACTGCCATCAGAGGCGTTCTCTGTCTCCACGATGATACCATGATAGGAAAAACACATCAACGTGTAATTGAAATAATTTATTTACCACTAGAGCACCACAAAAACAGACATACATTGTGTTAAAATACAGCATAATCAGTCATCAAAATACAAAACAGCTAATCTTATGTTCCATTTTTTTAAAAAAAATCATGCCAACCATAAAATTGTACTGCTGTTTAACACATAAAAACTGCGGCCCCACCCCACCCACATACTAACATTTCCCCTGTTCCCACCCAACTCCCGCCCCTCCCCTGGCAATATTTACTTATGGGAAATAAAGGCCTTATAGAACCCTCAAACTAAAAAAAAAAAAAAAAAAGATTCAAGAGATCTTAAAATAGAGCATTTAAAATATTATCAGTGCATTCATGAGGAAAGACAAAATAATACAAAACAAAATGTCATTCTATCTGATAGAAAAATACCTGCAGAAATAAAAGTGATTTACATAGAATGAATAGAGAAGTGGAAAAAAAAATCAACACACTCAAATCTGGGATTGGGTTACAGCCACCCCAAGGGTTGTTTAGCATTGTGGCGTCCCATCTCTTGCTTTTCCAGTTTTCAAACTTCCAAATCCAATTTGTCATTTTAATAATGGTCAGGAAATTTCGCCCCCCGAAAGAAGCATACTATATCAAACAACTTCACTCTGGATTCACACCTCACTGTGCTGTTCTTTAGGTAAAACTGCAAATACTCCATTGTCTTACCATTAATTTTTATCCTAAAGCTAAATAAGAGACAAGTGACAAAGTGACATACATATCCTACAAACCCTGGCATAAGGTTACCTTCTTGGCAAAAATGTGGCAAATCATGTATTCAGTTAAGGGAAATTCTAGCCTCTGATTTGATAACTCTCAATCAGAGGAAAGAAAAAAATTTTTGATCATGGGAGCACTTGCCTTGTGCCTTTTCAACGTTCAAAGAATACCTATAAAAACCTTAACTTTGATGAAATAAACTAAATGACTTATGCTGACCTGGGCTTTTTTTCTTCCTTAAAGAAAAAAATCAACAAAAATGTTAATCTTTGAATTTCCCCCTGAACACTAAAAACCCGATTAAAGAAAAAAAATGTTTCCTATGAACTAACTGTCTGCTCTTTAATAACAGTAGAATTCTGTGACAATGCTGATCCAACCAAGTTAGACTTTTCCTAAGCTAGTCACCAAGATTCTGATTTCCAGTCAGATCCTTAAGCCCTTGTTAAAAATACATTTCACCTCAGTCATCTATTTTCCTAAAATAGAAGATTGTTAATGTCTGAATTGATTAGTAAGGATGCTTAGATGATGAAGGAAAACTACCTCTTTTTACACAAGAAGAAAAAAGGACATGAAGACTCAGGTAGCTTATGTCATAATAATGGACAATGCAGAAGCACACGCGGAACAAATACCATCAAACACGTATTTGTAGTGCAAGTCAAAATATAGGGGCTTTACTCAAAAGTACTGGCCAGCTAAAGGAAACACACCATTCTGAGTGATCGTTAAAAAGAGCCCAAATTTAAGTCCAATCTAAATCAGAGTTGACAGTACTACAGACCATTAAAAATATGGTAAAAATTTACACATTACACATAAAGTAGTTAATGTTTTGATTTAATAGTTTGCAAAAAAGAGATCTGCAGACGTGTTTCCAATTACACCGGCTTCTACACCCATCTATTGTAATAACATAGGTCTGGTTACATACACCGAAACAAAGGAGAAACCTAGAGCACAACTATACAGCAATACTTTAAGGTCTGAAGTCTGACCAGTATGCATCAAAACATCTCAATGTCTCACTGCTTTGCTAAACTGACAAGGAACCATTTACAATGAAAAAGAAAAGAAAAAAATCTTACAGACTTCTTCTGACTGAAAGTTTCCTTTATTTAACAGGCTTTTCCATTTTCAACCTTACAAGAAGCATCCTTGGACAGCTGGTACACAGCGTGTGGTTGCAGGGTCTTTTTCGTAATGCAGATTTGCTGGGTCATATGCTATCTCGCTTGCATTTTCATCCTGTTAATATGACCTCTTTATTTTTTTTTTTCTGGCTCCTTTGAGTTCAAGTTCCTTAAGCCATCCTTGAGTTTCTGGCAAAGTTTTTGGTCTCCACTTTATACACCTGTTTTATTTTCCAAGGGTCATGAAATGTTCGCTATATAGTAACACACAATAAATAACTCACTGTTAACTCTAAGAGGGCGAATGGGAAGGGTGCCTACTGCAGAGCAATACAGAAAAATCAAGTGAGGCCTGGGGTAGGAACGGTATGTACAGCAACTCCACGTAACGGGATTTTCCTGTTTTTTGTTTTTTTTTTTTCTTTCACATAATTAACACTAACAAATTCTTCCAGTGTTTATTTTTTCTCTTAAAAAAAAAAAAGGTTTTGCTTCTCGTCTCTCTCACTTACAGAGTAGGTGAAATGTAGAATAAAGCCTTCAACTCTTTTTGTGTTTTTTTTTTTTTCAGACGCCAGTTTTAACAAACAGAACACAAACTTCCAAAGTGTTTGAACTAGTACCGCTTGGTCAGATTTTTGTTTTTAACACTGATGAAGAAGCAAGGCTCTCTCGTGTTTTCTCGTTACAAACATCGCCAATGTCGTCACCGCCGTCACCGCCATCAATATCGTCATTGTGTGATTATCGACTTGTCACTTTTCCAAGAATCTTAGCTGCATTTGCAAGACTTTACGATCATGTTGGAAAGCTGTTCGATCTTGGGTGTTTTGCCGATGTAGTAGAGAATGGTTAGCGGTTCTAAATCCTGGGACACACAGCAAGGGGAGGCAGATGCTTCTGGATTTATGGTATTATATAAGCTGAGAACCTGAAAGGACACAGGAGAAGAAAGAAAACATAGGAAAAGATCAAAAAAGAAAAAAAAATTATTTTGTAAAAGAACCATCCTCTCTTGTTATCTTAGCAGTCATAGCACTCAGTAGGCAATTGAAAACATTTTTGGCTTATATTTTCCTTTTCTTTCTTTTTTTTCTTCTTTTTTTGTGGAGGTACCAGGGATTGAAGCCAGGAGCATGCGCTAGACCACTGAGTTATGCCCATCCCCCCACACTTTCCTTTCCTTATCTTCCAATTATAGTCAGATAGGTATGTGTCCCTAGTAATCCCAGAAATCATCATTTTCCTACAGAATCCTTTTGTCATTCATTGTAAACAACTAATTCTGCAAAAGTCAGATTGGACAAAATTGCTCATTCAACAGATTTTGCAGTTTTCCCAGTAAGTCTTCACTTTTTTTTTTTTAAATTGGAATAAAGTCGGCTTTCTTTGACCACTGCTTTGTTGCACACACTTCCCAGGCACCTGGAAAACTTGGTCCTCACAGCATTTCATCATGTGTTTCCCGTTCTTTGTAACTGATGTTGCTCCATGAGTAGATATTTTCAATTCCCACCTAGATTAAGAGTTGCCTGGAGGCCAGGGAGTCCATACACTTATTTTTTTTACCTTATACCCCTGGTAAGTCTTCTCTGGACAGAATAAGACTCATGAGCCAGGCGAAGAAATGAATACATGGGTATGCAGGAGAACAATGCGTTGAATTAAAACTCATCAGAGCGTTCATCTATCCTGAGGTAGAGAAAAAGACACCTGCCTGCAGTGTGAAATCTTTCCGCGATAAATATCTATCTTCTCAGGCCAATTTAATGTCACCTAAATTTTCATTTAAAAGCAAAAAAAAAAAGAAAAAGTCTTTCCATTTGTCATTGCTTCATAAATACAACCATGCGAAGAATGCCCTCAGAAGCAATCTATATTCTTAATTATTCACTTTGCTTCATTTTGCTTAAAATCATATAATAATATTATACTAATATTATAATAATACTAATTGACCCTCCATGTAGCTTTCCACGTGGTAAAGGATAGTGGCTAAGTTGGAGGAGTGGAGAGCCGATATTAGAATGAAAAGAAAGTTCTACAGTGACTCTTATCCCTTTAACCCCATTCTACATCAAAGGTGCAATGTGACTTCTCCCGATGGAAGTACGGCGCTCCCCCGGCGATGATAAAGAGACATTTCCAAGGATGCCATTAACGTGTTAGTCAAACTGCAAGTGACCTTTTCCTCGAGATTCACTGCAATGTTTTCAGGCTAAGACAGAAGATCTGTTCAGCACAGCAACACTGACTACTTTATTGAGCTACCTCTGGCTTCTTGGGTAAATGTCCAAACCACATATTTGTGACCATGACAGTTATTCTTCCTCTCTCCTTGAAAAACAAGCGTGGTCTCAGCCTTCACACACTCCCTCTGTGTATCAGGGAGGAGAATTATGTTTCTACTTGGCAGCTGGGCCTTGCCCACATTACAGCTACCGTTGCCACAGCCCAGATGAAGCAGCCTGGCCAGAGAGCTCAGACAAAGGGACAGGCATGAGCAAGCTTCCCTCACGTGGCCAGGCACGTGGTCAGCCCAGGGTGCCAAAATCCACAGGGGAGCTGGGAACACAGCCGAAGGAAGGGAGCCGTATTTGTCAATCTAGAGTTTAGCTTATGTCAGCATTTATAAATCAGTCGACTTCCTCTTCCACTAACACATGATTTTTCGTATCAATTAAAGAGGAATTTTATAATACAGATTGTCTAAAATAATTGATATCCCCCGAAGCCCTGAGTTCGGCTGAATGCATTCTGTGGCCTTGCTGGCAGCAGGTGCATTTTCCTACCCTGCAGTGAAGGCAGTTCTTCTAATGCTTCTTTAATAAGGAGATTTACAGAGGCATGACCCCAACGTGTAGCCACATTTCAGGAATTAAACTCTTAAGACAGAGCAAACGAAGGCCTGGTTATAAAACAAGGAAGCCTGCATTCCAAGCTTTGGTTTGTCACCAACTATTTGATCTTGGGCAAGTCATCTACATGATCCAGACTCCAATTTATTTTTTTAAAAAATGAAAGGTTTGGACAAGATAACTTAGGATGTCCTTTCCATCTCTAGAATCTTACATTATGAGGCACAGGAAGAAGCATCTGGACAAACATCATTATTACATAGAAAAAGTCTTTGCTAATCTGGGCTGGGAGCCCCTGGCATCCAATCAAGGATTAACCTTCTCTCCTCATTGAAGTGACTTAATAAAACACTCAGATTCTCGTTTACTTTGGGTTGTATGAAAAAAGACTTAGAGATACTGATTTTCAAATCATTTTCACGTGTATCATCTTGAAGAGTTCTTCACATCAATTCTAGAGTTTGATGTGATTATTTTAAAGATAATGTTTAATTACAGACATTCTTTTTTACTGACAAGGAACTGAGGTTTGGAGAAGGAACATGATTTTATAATCATCATGCACTAGTGACTCACTCTGCCAAAGCATCCACCGAAGTCCTCAGTGTTTTTTCTAATGTGACAGTCCCTGATGGAGGTGGTAACAGAGCCTTTTTTCTAGAAGGGGACTGGGCCCCTGCACATCTTAACAGTACCTGATATGAAGCAGTGTATTGATTCTACCTTTTATGTTTACAGCTGTTGAGAATATAAAACAAAGAAAAAACATTCAACAAAATTGCCTTCGAGTTGATTGCAGTCTAGTTGGGAAGACCAGACCTACTGTCCAAATTCATCATTGTTACTTTCTGAGTTCACCTACAACCTGCATTCTTTCCCATCACTCAAAAGGATTTCTCCAACACCCATTCATTTGCGATGGCAAAAGTGCACCGGGCTATTTAGAATTCATTTGGAAATGCTTTCAAGAGGTTCTTATTCACCGCCCAAGAACAGAAGAGACAAGGGAGCCATGGACTTACCCTGCTGTGCTGAGTGTCTGAGCTCCACAGATACGGGCAGGCTCCGGCACAGAAGTTAGCATTGTACCCTTTGGGTTCATGTATCCATTTCCACCCAAGATCCCTCTTGAAATCAATGTAAAGTGGACGCAGGCAGCAATTATCCTGCACATTTCTAGTAAAAGAAAGAGCAATGGAGATTTTAAAGCCGAGATCCCCCTGCCGCTGCCCTTCATCCCAAATGGGAAAAGTGACTCATTCATTTATTCAACAAATATCTGTGAGCAAATGCCAGGTCCTATCGGTCGTATTGAGATCTCAAGTGACTTTCGTGGTGGGGTGTTAATGGGAATTCTCTAGACTGCTTTCCCTTAGGACTTCTAGACCCTAATCCCCCTTGTCTGTGACCTCAAAACTCAAATCCTTCCCTTGCATGACAAGATATAAGCAGAGAGGTGGCGGATGGAGACCCAGCCCCTTCCAGCCAACACCGCGCAGTTTCAGCAACCAGCCTCTGTTGCCTTTTCAGATATAAAACAGAGGAGGTACAGCAGCTATTTTCAAAAAATCATTTAAGGCATATTCCTTTGAGAATAAATCCTTGATTTCATTTCCTGTCCCTTGATCTAGGAATGAACCAGAGATCAAGATACATGGAGTCTTGCTTAGAGCAACCACTGGCTCCGGCAACCAAAAACACACCATTTCTCCCGTGAACGCAGACACTCGGAGCACTTTATCAGTGAGGACCCCTCACTGCCCAGTGGCTCACGACAGAAAGAAAGAGCCTTCTTCCTTACTAGGCTCGATAAGAAACCACAGGAGATCATGCACCCTTTGCCTCCATGAACTCACACGGGAATGGGAAATAAATGCATGTCAACCCTCACTTCTCTCATATTCTGCAGCAAAAGACCCGACAAATAGCATTCTCTTCTGTCTCTCTTGTCACTGTGACCGTGAAGGAGGTTTGACCACGTGTCCTCTGCAGGGGGTGCAAAGGCTTCTACAGAGGCTAAGTCTTCCTAATCAGGGAGCCACCACCATTGTGCACCTCAACTAAACTTATTTTTGCTCTGGGGAGCAGGGGGCTCCTTTTCTTCTTCAGCCTCAAAGTACTTCAGGGGTATTTGGGGGAAAAAATTCAGGAGCCTAGTTTTCTCCCTTCACAGTTGGTTCATTGCTAAAGAACTGATGAATGCAACACAGAAACGACTGCTGTAAGCCCCCGGGAAGGACGGTGCTATGAAATCTGACCGCCCTACCACTCTGTTCCCGGCTTTGAGCAATGAGTGCAGTTCCAGTTCGTTTTTAGGAAAAGGGAGGGGAAGGCAGGACAAGAGTTAACAGACACAATTATTTTGTGGGTTTTATTTTTACTTGCTTTTACCTAAAGCAATAAGCTGCGTCCAAAGCACGCTTCTTCCGCCGGTTGGATGGTTGCGACTCAAGTCTGTAGGAGGGCAACAACATTAGCAGGAGATGTGGGGTCTTCCCACTGTTTTTTTTCCTAGTGGACTTTATAGTTTTCTGATCACCACTGGTATATGTGGAGGTGCCATCAATACCTTGAAAAAATGCATTTGGGTAATAAACATTTAGCTTTACCTTCATCAAATATAATCAGCCATATTCTTTTATTTTTTTTTTCCTTTGCCTATGGTCACAAAGAGCGGTGATGACCACCCCAGCCACAGCAGCTGGCTCCAGCCATCCCCCATGGAAACGGACAGGATTACTGCAGGTGACAAGGAACTCTTCTAAATGGGGCTCTTGTCAGAAGGCAGTTCGGTGTCCAAGGCAGGCCCTGGTGGTTATGAAAGTCACTACAGAAGAAGTCTTTGACCTCTAGTCCAAGGGCAATCCATGCAGTTTATTTTAGTCGGTCCTCAGTTTAGGCTGTGTTCAACCCCTCAACGACTGAACACAGGGCAATAGAACGTGCCTTGTCACCCGCTGGTCCGCTCTCTTGCTGGGACTGCTAAACTCAAAAGACTCTCCTAGTGAACAGAAACTGACACTTACACTCAGCTGCAGTGAATCGGGTTCAAGGGAAACAGAAGTCACCCTTACCTAATGCTATTTTGGGAAGCGGTGAAGAAAGGGCTTTTTCATTTATTTTATGGCATCCTCAACACTTTCCTGATTCCATCTGAGATGGAGAAACTCGAGCTCCCCCAAGCATGCTCCGGAGATTGCCAGTTTAAGCATTTAATCTCCACACTCGAGAGAATCATGACTAGGTTAGAGACTGAAATAAATCTCTAGACCTCTGGGAGCATTTTTCCATGAGCAAGGGTCACTGCAGCCTTCTGCAAATGGACGGAGGTACTAGGCAGCGTTAGTTAGAGAAGGAGGATCAGCTCCCTGAGCTGGGGGCGTGGAGCCAGTGCTGCACAAACACACAGTCCAGACTCCCCCCTCCACCGCGCATCATCCAACAACTTGTTACCTAACACAAGATGGGACTCGAACCCCCGGCATCTCCTCGTTCTCCTTGACTATTGGCTAATTCATTAAAGGTGAGCAAGGATATGGGGGAGACTAAAACCTTGTTATGTGTTTATAAACTGTGATGGAAGTCTGCGAAGGAAGCCACATGGACTATGGGCACCAGCAAGGAGAGGCAGAGAGTTTTGATACGCGTTAAGGTTAGTTAAAGAGGCTGGGGTGGGAGGAGACGCCCTTCTGTGAAATACGGTTATGGGTTCCTGACATGGGGTTTGGGGGGATTATCAATGGACGTCCTTGAATGTATGTTTCTTCTTCTCCTATAATATTAGCATAGATGGAATGTTGGATTACTTAAATGAAGAATACAGGGCTTAACAGGCTATCTAAGAATCTGGAAGGTTGGCGAATCTGTCAGTATCATCAAGTCATCCCTGGGCATTGAGCAGTGTAAACGGAGAACCAGCCCCTTTTCCCAACCTTCCTGTCTTCACATATTTCTCCAACCACATCTTTGTCCAAATAAATGAAACTCCCCACGCCTCACCCAGCAATCTCATTTCCATGTGCAAACTGACTTCATCCCCCATGAGATTATCAACAGAGTCCCTTCCCTCCCGCACCTCACAGGACCAAGTTTCAGTTACCTGCAAATCGTGCTTCTAGTTCTTCACTTTTATTGGGGATGATGTAATTATTAGATGGTACAAAGGTGCAGCAAGGACAGTGTAAACTTATCTTAAATCCCAGGTTCCTATCTGGAAAACATCAAGTCAAGGAGGTCATTGGTCTGTGCACCCCTAAATCTGCAATCAAATCTGACAATAACTTGGGATCGCTGAACATCTAAGGAGGAAAACAGAGGGTGGCTGTACCTTTATGGTGGAGCCATTCGTGAACAGCATCCGTGACATCAAAGGACAGCCATTCACCTTCCGCTCTCGTTTTCACGACTTTGCTGTCGATGTAGCGCTGGGTTGGAGACGTTAAATCTTTGGATTTGAGAATCTGAAGAAGGAAAGGGCAAGAAAAAGGCTCAGCTGGCATACTGACAGCATGACTGAACCCAAACCATTAACAGTATTCCAATTCATTATCTAAATTTAGCCCCACTCTCGTAGACCCACGTATTGTCATCTCAGCAGCATGGCCCCATGCAGAAAAACATACCACCAGGCCAGATGCCATGAAAAATAGAGCTACTAAATCAGTTGTGTGTTATGATAAAGGTGACAGGAACCATAAAGCCAAGTGTCTAAAAGAAAGTGACAGTAATTATTTTCCTCCGCTGACATAAGCTTCGTGAGATTTCAGCCATAAATTCTGTGCCACTAAGTTAGTGGTTTTGTTGTTTTGCTTCCCTGCTTATTTCACTTGGGGAGCTGGGATATGAGGAGAGGTGGGAGGGTGGGTCCAGTTCAGAGGAGCCGGGATCACCTTCAGAAGGCTCTGAAATATAGATAAATCTTCTAATAAAGAGAGAAGGGTCCTAACTTGGGTTCCTAAATCCACCAGCATTAAAGTCTGTGGCATGCCTCAGCTTTTGAGGTAAGTCTCTCCCTGGGAATTTTTACTCTCAATGTGACTTGTTATGATTTAGAGAGATATTCCATCTCCCGCAGACTAAGAATGAATCTGGGCAGGAGCAGTCTGGCACAGTGTGGAGTGAGAGCCTGAAAGGAAATCAGCCTGAACGCTGAGACTTTAGAAGGATGCATTTATTTCAAATAAGTTAAGAGCAACTGCAGTATGTTCTTGGGTTTCTATGGGAGAAGAACGTTTTAGATTTTTTTTTTAATTCTGTCTTTAAAGGATAGTGTTTTATGAACCAGTCAGACCACGATCCTAAGTCTCCTAGAACTATATTAAATCCCTACCCAAACCCATATGCTGCATTTCCTCGGTGCTTAGGGGCTCAAGCCCTGTTGTTTTATTCTTCCTTTCCGGACACCGAGTCTAAGAGTTCTGTGGTCATTTCATATATACGTGTTTGGTCTCTCCAACAAGTTCATAAACTTCTCCAGGGCAGGGATCATGTCTTCAATTTGGTATCATTTCAAAGCATAGTGTTCAATGTAATCAGTGTCTATGAAATGACAATCCGCATGTCTAGAAAATGCATTTATTCTCCTTTAAACCTTGCAAGACAAAAATGCATGATCTTCCTGCTGATTTTTAAACGCCCTTTCCTCCCACGTGTGCACATGACTTGTCTCAAGTAGTTCAACCACAAACACTTCTTAGAATATCTGGCATGATAGTAGACATTGTTTTCTGGATGAAGTAAGGATAGAAAAGGAAAAAAAATCATACAATTGTACTTTGGGTGCCCTCATGAACTGTAGACAAAGCTCACTCAACAAACCTGCCCCTGAGGTCCAGCAAAGCCCATTAAGTGAAGAGAATGTCGGAGGCATGATGATTCTACCATTGGCAAGAGATGCTGTCTGTCGATTAAAGGAAGAAGAGAAACAGGAGTACTTCCGGGCTGAACTTTAGAACGTCAGCATGAGAGAGGCAAATATTTTAAGAAGATTATAATGAATGTTGGCACAAGATAAAAATTTAACATGTGGAACATATACACAGCTAATGCTGACATAAACCTGCAACTTTAAGGGTACAACTTCACAGCAGTCAATCCTCTGGAAATCAAACCTTGCCTTGAAAACACTCCCCATTGGGCACATAAGTCACCACTTACCCAATTCACAATAAATGGTATAATCAACCTAACACAGGATAACAATGGTTAAAAAAAATAGTTGAGAAGAAGTTTTCAGGCATCCATTGACTGAAAACTAATAACATTCTCCAAACTCATTTTTCCATCTTCAAATTTCTTCCCCTAGCTGACTTTCAATAATGATGCTTTATTTCAGAATGCTTTGTGTATTTGCTTTCCTCCTAATTAGCAGAGTGTATATCTTATGTATCTTTGTAACTCTAACATTTAGACACACTGCCTAGAACAAAACCTTGCTTTCATTGTTGAATTAATTACATATGATGAATACATACAGACATCAAATGCCCATGGATCTCCTTATGAGATCTATGTATATTATATCTCATATCTTAAGACACCATAGATACCCATGTATGTCTACATATATGTGTGTACATATATACGTGTGTACACAAACACACACACACAAAATCTCACTGAAAACACAGAGTTTTTTTTTTAAAGTCATGACCACCTTGACCAAGTGGGCAGAAAAAACACATGCCGGTAAATCTATGGAAATTCTTCATCTCACAGAGAAAAAGGAAACCTAGATTATCTTATCTTAAAAGCAGATCAAGGAGGGGCAAAGAGATTCTGAACTTTTTCTTCTTTTTAAATCTCATTAGAAGATAAGTGCTTCCCCAGCTGCAGACCACTGGCAGGTTCTGACATCAGACAGCTTCACACTCTCACAAGGCTGAAAGGTCTTCCACGTCTTTCTACCAGTTCAAGAACAGGCCAACGGAAATCACCCAAGAAAGACAGCTAGCGAGCGACATCATTCTGAAACAGGGAAGTGACTTTGGTCTTGTGTGTTTGTTGTCTTGAACTTACGACCAAGGAGTTCTTAAACCCACTTGTTACAATTTAACTCCATTCTTTCTTAGGCAGTCTTCCGTGGAAACAGGAAACAGCTGCTTTCCATCACTCATAGAATATCCCTCATATTCTTGGAGACTATTATTAAGTCCCCCTCAGCATGCAAAGGCTCCCTCTCTAAGCTAAATAAACCCAGTTCCTTTAGCCCATATTTAGAGGGGCAATTTCCCAAACCTTTAATCACCTAGGTCGCCAACAGGATGGATGATGCTATATAAAAGTGCTTCTCCTGCAGCTTTGTGATTTCGTTTCAGAACTGGCTAGAAAACCTTCTAATCACAACCCAAAGTCTCGAATCTTAACTTGCAAGTTATTTTCTTTCCAAGAATAGGCACGACCTCCCTATTCCGTTTATTGTCCATTTATCACCCAAGCTAAGTGAAGCTGTAACGGAAGACAATCAACCTACTGCTCTTGTCAGTTAGAACGTTCTTATATTCAATAGTTGGTACAAGAATGGCCACATTGGTCAACTTGCCATTTTATGTTAGCCTCTGCTGTCTGCCTTTGTCCCATCTCCCAACAACAATTGTATTGGATGGTAACAGTCACGGATGTGCAGCTGTCGTTTTTGTCTAGAGCCACAGTCACTGCCGAATTCCTTCACACATCTTATCACGACAAAGATAATTTAGTTGGACGGTAAAAGCTCTCTTAACTGGCCTCCATTTTACTGGCCAGATTAACCAGTATTCTGCTTTTGTTCCATAACGCACGTCGGTTAACGCTAGGGCTGTTGCTATAGTATGCTCTGAGGACTTCTGCTCTTACCAGTTGAGTTGCATGCTTACCAAGAATCAGTTACATATTTTTCTAAACCTGTTTATGATAATTGGACTTGCAATTGTAATTAAGTGGTCTAGAAACTGATGAAATACAGGATGAAAAGTAGAGAGTTGTTGCTTCTGTGAGAGCCAAGCTGAATGCCTTAGAAAGTCTTCATAAAGACACGTTGCTTTAAGCAAGTTTTGTTTCTCTCTCTCTCTCTCTCTCTTTTTTTTTTTGAGAACAGTTTGGTGTTCCTCAAAAAGGTAAACATAGTTACCATGTGTTTTAGCAATTCTACTTTTAGGTGTATACCCAAAGAACTTAAAGCAGGGACTCAAACAGATACTTGTATGCCAATGTTCACAGCAGCACTATTTGCAATAGCTGAATGATGAAAACAAGCCAAGTGTCCATCAACAGATATATGGATAAACGTAGTATATACACACACCAGAATATTACAACACAGATGAATCTTGAAAACATTATGCTATGTGAAATAAGCCAGACACCAAAGGACAAATAGTGTATGATTTCACATACATGAAATACCTAGAATAAGGAAATTCATGAAGATATACAGTGGACTAGAGGTCACAAGGAGGGGGAGGGGTAGAGAGAATGGGGAGTTATCATTTTATGGGGACGGAGTTTCTGTTTTGAACAATGAAAATTTTTGGAAATGGACAGTGCTGATTGATGGTTGTAAAACACTGTGAATTTACTTGATGCCACTGAACTGTATACTTTAAAAAAATGGTTAAAGGCTAAATTTTATGTTATGTATATTTCACCACAATAAATTTTTTAAAAAAGTTTTACATGTGAGAGAGAGAGCCGTCAAACAAAGAACTAAAAGAATAAAAATCTCGAAGGATCCTGAACTCAGTATGCTTAGCAGTTGTCCTGAAACTTCTCTCTCTTCTTTAAAGAAACTAAAGACTAGAAATTATTGATGACACATGATGGATGTGGTTTATGCAAAAAATAAGACGTGGGTTGGCAACAGGCAGAGCCACAGTCTAAGAAATGTCCTTGGTCTTTTACTAAAAAAAAAAAAACTCAGCATGTAAATTATGTGTGTGTTTATACATATATATATATATATATATACATACATCTTAGGATAAAATAGAAAGTTTGCTTCTTTCTCTTTCTCCCTCTCTCTCCCTCTCCCCCTCCTCTTTCTCATGGTTTTACAATCCCTTGCTTTAACTGCCTTTTTCCTTTAAATAACAGACCAACAGCTGTTCCTGACTGAATCAGAAGAGCGCTTCTACCGTATTAAACATGAGATATAGCTGTCTCTTGCTTAGCTACCACCCACAGGGGTGCTGAATGGTACCCTCATTATGTTATTGGTATGTACACATTATCTGTAATATGTGTGAAATACCCACATACGCCTTTGGCAAGGCTCAGTTCTTCCCTGAATTACAAAACTCCCTACACAAAAGAATCCATTCATCTCTCTGCCACTGGAAACCAGCCAATCAGGGAGTGGAGAGCGAGGCAAATGCGACTGATGTTACCCAATAGTTTAGGGGCGCAAAAAAAAAAAAAGAAAGAAAGAAAGAAAAGTCTAGATGCAAAATTGTAGACAGAGGAAATCTCAGTCTTAAAGGAATAG